AAACAAATCAATCAATAACACAGGAAAAATGAAAATAGAACGGTTGGCGATTATTATACATTCTTTTGTTCTTCTTACATATCGGATGTGATCAAATTGTACTATGTAATGCTACTCTTCAGCTGTATATTTACTTAAGTGAAAGCGCCACAATAAATTGGAGTGCAATTGTTACCAACTAGAAGAGTGTAATTAATATTGCTTGATCAATCAATGACACGTTTTGCTTAATTCTTTGTCGGTGAATATTATCGTATCGTCTTCAAGATTGTTGAATACCCTTTATATTAAATAACTAAAATTTTAATTGCAGTCTTAATGGTAAATTAATTATTACATTAGCATTTACATTTGCAAGTATAATGCTACTCTAAATGGACCTTGTCTTCTGAGCCACGCCTCTTGGATTTTCTTGCTAAAGTCCTACAAAATAACGTGTTAAAACATACGCGAGCACGTGGCGCGTTTGTGGGACAACACACGTGTTTCTTGGACACGCGCGTACTCATGGTCAGATGTTCAATACAGTTTTCCATGTCTCTTCACATTCAAAGAGCAGTCATACAGTGAAAATAATCTTATGGAACTACAGATTCATCAAAAGATGAATTTAACATACTTCATTATTTCCAACTGTTCTTGCCTATTGAATAACGGAGTGATTGCTACCAACTAGGAGAGTGTCAATACAATCAATCAATGACACGTTGTGTTTAATTCCAACTTAGAAATATCGTCTTCGATGTGGTTGCTTTACCTTTATATAAACTCACATTTAGCTTAATGGTTGTTAAATTATTGCACGTATGAGTAATGTTTTTTAAATTCATGATTTTTCTGATCATGTTAAATTCATAAAGTAGTCATACAATAAAAACTTCAGTTAAATGTATAATTCGTTAGTTAATCAGAAATCACATTAAAAGATAATTTTAACATGTATGATATATTTGACACATTCCTTACCGATTGAACCGGAATTTATTCATGATATATCCTGCATAAATACGAATGTTGAATTCAATGAATTCTATTATCGCCTTATCTTCATTATATAACCTTTCTTTTGGCTGTGTTACCTTTATGTCGAGATGGGTTGTACTTTTGTATATGGATGTGTGGCTCAACTTCTCCTGTAGTTATAGCAGCATTTGCAGTTATGGTTTTCAATCTCTTGTTGAGAGATACAGTACACAATATGCACATCGTTGTCAGATATCAATAGCAAAGCAAAAACCATTGTTAAACAAAAAAAAAACACACATTAGTGTTAGTGTGGTCAAATAATAAAGTGGGTATGTTTGATAATGGATTCGAAAACACTGAATGAGATCTATTTGTTAGAGCATCACTAGAAAAGTAGTTGTAATATCTCACTTAATATAATACCTTAATTTCCCAAAGACATTTTGAATACATAATTTACAATTTTTTAACGACTAAACAGGTATTTAGTTTCTACACAATGTTCACATCTTTATCTTTATGTTTAAATTTACATTAACTTTAGACTCTTCAGGCACAGATATGCCAGCTTGCATTTTGATTTGTATTGCCTTATATAATTACTAAGTTTTAGTCTATAGGTAGGCATAGTCTATAGTTTCTGAATGTTTTTTTTCTGCACACTATCAGACTTCTTTGCCTAGAGCCATCGGTCGTAAAGCTTTAAGTGATTCTAATCCATAATTACTTCTAAGAATATTTTAGTGAGTGGATAACAACATAAAACCTTATATTCATTAAGTGCATTGTCGGTGGTGGCTGTTCATACTTGAAATCGTTTCTTCTTGCTGTCTAAAGGGAGGGGGCAAGGGAAAGACTTTCACAGATTGATGGTCTAGAACACCTTAGCTTTGGTTTGGGCTGAGGTAAGAAAATCTCTGATTATGGCACCTCTAGATGGCCGGAAATGGCACTCTCAGACTTAAATTTGAATACATTATAATTTTTTTTCTATTCAAAAAATATATTTTGAAAAACTTAAAGCTCCTGTATTCAAACCTCGACCCTGCCAGCGGGCCAACTCCAGTCCGCCAAAGAA